CTTTCTATGTATCTATCCAATCTCACCACTCACAATTAATTTTATATCCAATATGTCCTTGAAAAAGCCAAAAACAGCTAGAAAAGTTCCATAAACCAAACTAGTCACACAAATCATTTTGACAGAAAATTTTCATCCTACACCCAACTGCTATTGTTAACGCCATTTTTCGTGGACTTTGAGCCCGAGGTCCGGCGATGTTAACGCTCGGTCCTCTCCGCCACACAGTTGGTAATTGTCGTTTGAACTGTACGCATCGGTCAGTGGCAAATCGTTTGTTTCTTCTTCTTCAAACTGTTACTCGCCTCATTTTATTTTATTCTCGCGATCGTCGTGGCGAGACTATCGATCGAAGGAGAGTCTTCGAAGGACAACGAGATAAAGGGTATCCGTATCCCTATATTCCTACATCATCTGTACGCCTGTCCTTTTTCCCCCTTTCATCCGTCGTAGAATTTGGAGAAGTCTTCTATATGGTGAGTTCTTTGTTTTTCCTTTTATTTATCCGATTATTTTACCCTATTCATCAAATTACAGTCCACTTACTCGTTAACAGCTATATTAATAATATGGCAAAAAAGTGGGAAAATTCGTACGGTTGTTGGTTGAGATGAAGACTTGCGTCCGAGAGGATCGAAGTCACGATAGCTCAAGTGGTAGAGCAGCGGCGTATTTAGCCGAAGGTCGTGGGTTCGAATCCCGCTCGTGACACTGACTTTTTTTATCTCAGCCAAATCTTACATAAAAATAATCTTATGATTCTTCCTTCTTGAATGTCGGATAATAGGTCATCTCAAAAAAACCACAACCAGTTTTTATCCACAACGTTTAGGATTTATTTTAATCCTTCCTCAGGTGAGTTAACTCCTGTAAACAGAACTTTTTTTTAAATATCAACATGGTTATCATTGTTTCTTCACTTACAATGGTTAAAAAAGTGGTCGTCAGCCATTAATATTTTATAACAGTTTATTTTAAAAAAGAACCAGTGTGGTACTTATTCAGAATAGAAACAAATGTTTTAATATTTTGAACCTGACTAGACTCTTATCACAACCTCTCATGTGACGTTCGACCTCTTATCAACATCTTATCACAGACCAACGAATCAACATTAAAAAATACCACTGAACAGTTAAAGATGCATTTTTCTTATAAATCTATTTTTAAACAACAAAATTTCGGTCGTGGGTTCGAATCCCGTTCGTTTTTTCAGCTTTTTTATTTCAACCAAGACCATACATAAAAAGAATAATTAATTAAAATTATTAATTACCATTTTTTGAAGTTTACTATTCTTAAATGATTTTCCTAATGTAATATAAATAATTTATGTGATATATTGGTTTTGTTATTTGTTCGAAAAAACATATTAGTGTTGTAATGAATGCGCATAATCCTTTCTTTTGTTCTTACAGTAGGGGTATCATTATAATAAAGATATTTCCTTTGACATTGAATTTTCAATGAGTTTCTTTTGTGCTCGGTTTAATTGTTCCACGGGCGACGGCCGCTTTAGAAAAGGGGTTAATTTTGAGATGATAGCGACAGTGAATCACACTTATTTTCCCGTTTGGCTTTGATATACGGGCAAGTCTGAGTAAAGCGTTTCATTAACGCCTGGAAGAACAGGCCTGTATCTTGCGGGACCAGTTTAATCATGTTTATACCAGGGCGGAATCGATTGGCGCGCAAGTCACAGACTTTATAAATAAGCCCGTCGCGTAAAAACGTCCACGGCTCGGAAAGTTGTTACAATTAAGGGGCGAAGGCTTCATTAATAGCGGCAAGGAGGCGAAATTATCGAAAAGTTTCACAACATTTGTGTACTGGAGGTGGAAAATTGTTTAAATCATCCGAATGAAATCTTACCAAACAACGGAGCAACGTTTTATTACTGCATAGAGATGAATCTAAAATGCTACATGGAGTGGTGACTTAAAAGCCCGAATTGCACAGAAGCAAAACCTTTATGACCCATAAACTTTTCAAGCAGTGATTCATTCATTCTATACACAAGAAATACTTATGAAAATATTAAAAGTTCCATAGATGGGCTCTCATATATCAACAGCACTGTCGATAAGTGGTTTTTGGAGAATCTTACTTTTCTAGGGGTCATCCTCACCCAATTAAAAATAGACCATGCTAGTTTGACACACGGACACGTTCGGGCCAAAACGCACGTACATTTCCGGCGTGTAGGGAAAGGTTGTTTGATGGGTTCCAATTATTTGAAGGGTACCATAGATTTGGCTTCATATAGGTACTTATAGGTATGCCATCCAATTAAGAAAATTTTGCTTGAGAACAAGAGCGCATGAGGGCAAACAGGGTTGTTTGATTCTATACAGTACTGATAGTTTTGTGTCACTAGCGTGTGATTTGACGTGAATGTCTACTGGGAGTAAGCTGATGGCAAAATATTATTTACCCCATTCCTCAGATTTCGTACATAATATGTGTAGTGTGGCGTAGTCACCACGCTAGGTTCCCCTACTGGCTATGAAATGGTCTCACCCGCCACTGTGCAGCCAATCAGAGTAGAGCCCTTCCGAATGTAAACAGGGTTACTGCCCCACTGACTTCAGACTCGTCGGAGACTCGTCTCCCCAACGAGCTCTCACTAATCACTAATGGAACATAGTTTTCCACGGGGGTCGCAATGTCTTATAACATTGAGGTTCTATAGCGTGCGCATCTAGCCTTCCGGCCTTATCACGCCGTTTAGATTCTCAAGTTGGGAGCGACTCGCCTCCGCGCGCAGAAAATCTGCTTCTTACGCGAGGTTCGGTGTAGAAGCCCACAAATCCACAGAATATTCGATAGAATTGCCGACTTCGTTCGATTCGCCAAGCAGAATGGCCATTTTCTATAAACTGTATAATTATGGGATCTCCAGTGGGTTTATCGAGGTATTAAAGTCGTTGTATAGCGGGACAGAGAGTGCTGTGTGGTGTAGGGGTGAGGTCACAAGTACCTTTTGAAACTAGAGTAGGTGTAAGGCAGGGCTGTCTGCTTTCCCCTCTTCTGTTCTCGCTGTTTATTAACGATTTACCCGAGATTGTGGGTGGTGGTCTGTTTGTCGGAGCATCAAATGTGAACTGTTTAATGTATGCAGATGATGTGGTTTTGATGAGTACTGAACCGGTTCAACTTCAAAAGATGTTAAACAGGTTTGGGAGAATACTGCCGAATGTGGAATNTCATAAGGTGGGGTTGAGATGGGGAGTTGATGTCCGAGAGGATCGAGGTCACGATAGCTCAGGTGGTAGAGCAGCGGCGTATCAAGCCGAAGGTCGTGGGTTCGAATCCCTCTCGTGCCATTTACTGTTTTTCATCTCAGCTAAAAACCTTAATTAATTATAAAGAAGAATGTTCAAGAAAAGTGCAATGTTCTACATACCATTTAACATACAAGAAATTGAACTTCGATCTTGGAGACAACAATTACTTGAATAAGGAATACAACTGGAATTTGATCAAGGTTGCTTTTCGCGCGAGAGGTCAATTATTATATTTAAATTTTAAGCCTTGGCTGGAGGAAAGAGACCAAGCATTCTATGTATGTAAACTAAAAACGGTGGAAGATTTGTTTCATTTTTTGGCAGTTTGTCCAACTTTGGAGAACGTTAGGTTAATTTGGTTCCACAGATGTCGTTTGACATTCCGTGAGTATATAGAACTTTTAGATGGGAAAGATTGGTTTAATTTGTATAGATATATTATAGACGCGCTGAATTGCAGAGATAATTTTATGTTAAGTTTATAATTTGTATGTTAATGTAAGTTTTATTTGAATGTAAATATGTAAGGGTCAACTGGCAAACGACTAGATCATGCCATTACAAATATTATTTTGTTATTTTGTACAAAAATGTAATATTTTGTTTTCTTTTCTAAATATACTTTTATAAAAAAAAATAAAAAATGCCGACTTCTCCAGCTTACCCCTTCCGAGATAACCATCCTAACCATCACTAATGGAACACCGTCATCGTCATCGACGACTTACTCGCAGCATTAGCCTGGATCTCGCCTTCTCAACACAGCCGACTTGGCCAACTGGCGCACTCGGATAACTGCTGTACCCGAGTCCTTTCAACCACTGCTGAGTCAACTGACTCATGGCTCCCGGACCTCAGCCAACGGTTCTCTCGATACATCGTCTCGACGCAACGAAACAACACCGGCCTTTTTCAGTGCAACCAAAAACATCCATTCATTAAATGGGTGATGTAGGTGATGTAGAATAGTATTTGACTCACTACTCACTACCCTAACTGAATGAACGGTATGTAAACAAACAAAAAAATTATATAACAGTGAGTGAGAACTGATTGCATTGGGGGATGAACAGATCTAGCTGTACAGTGTGTATACATACTCAGACGCAGCATTGAATTTCTTAAACTTTTCCACCTTCAATTCAAAGCTGGTCTGTCATACATATATATACACTCTTAAGAAAATTTGATTACGTAATTTTGATGTGGGTACCCGGACGCGTGGATGGAAGGAAACGAACAGCTCGTCAAACAAGTCAAAGTAGGAGCATTGTGGACAGGAACCGTATTATTTGACTAACCTGGTTAGGCCTTAATGAAACGTATTTATCGAACGATTTCCTTTTGAAACCCCTTCAAGTGAACGTTTTGTTTTTGAATTTTAATGAATGACGGCTAAAGAAACTCTTCAAACCTCGTATATCTCGGAAAACCCGGAAAATGAGTGATTTACAGTTGTGATCACTATGAATAAACAGGTTAACCGTGATAATCTGACAATGGCACAGTTGAGGCCGATGAGCCATTCAAGTCGCATAAGTCTCTGTCATCCGCACTCACTTTGCTCCTTCAGCATTATTTATGAAAGCATCTTGGAAAGTGGTTTTTTTTATCGGGGAACATTTTCTGATTTGGTTGTAAATATTTTTTTTCTGAATAATAAAAAAAGGAATTTTTCGTTTTTAAGAGGTTGTTAAATAAATAAAAATGATGTACACGACGAAGAAACAGTTTATTTGACTAATGAAAAGGCATTACAGTGTTTACCGTATTGTCATTTTACATTATTATACATATTAGGATTTAACAATTTTTCTAAGTCTTTTAAATCTTTGATAAGAATGGCTGGTACGCTTTCTGACTTTTTTAGAAAAATCTCTCCGTTCACAACACCGACGCCTTGATAATTCATTTGCTTCGCCACTTTTTTCGTTTCGAGTAGTATGTGTTGTTTGTTCAGTGAGAGGCTCTCCCTTATGTAAATCTCCGAGTCCTTTTTCATCCCTAAATCCTTGGCGTTAAGCCCCTTTTTTTGCCGGTAGCATTTCAAAAATCCCTCTTTATCGAAACGCCTGACGAAAGCCAACATGATTCCGTGGTAGCCGTCTTTGTTCTGCCGGTTTATCCTGTAGCAAATGTCGACCATTTCGTCGTTCATGGGGTATTCGATGGCCACGCCGATCTGTTTCACGATGGCAAGAAGGTTTTCGTTTTTCTTATCGGGCACACCTGTTATTTCCACTGCGTTTCTTTTTGTGTTCTGTTCCGCCATGTCAAGTCTGTACGATAAAGTTTCGATTTCTTTCATCAACCTTTCGTTTTTCAGTTTCAAAGCGTGGATGGAATCTGTTGCGTACGATACGTCGTCTTTGGACACCCTGACCGTGGAATCGCCTTCGATGATGGCTTCGTAGATGCTGCCCATGGTCAGGTTGAGATCCTTTTTAGCTTCGGCACGACCAGAATCTCCCATTCCTTCGTCATTTCTCTTGCTCTTTTTCTTAAAGTCATCTTTGAAGAGTTCTTTGTGCTTCAAGCATGCTTTGCAACGCCACGGCAGCCCTCTTTCTCGGTACAGCACGGTTTCATCGTCCGTCAGCTTCGTGCACTTAGAATGGGACGTACGCTTACAGTCGCAGCAAGTGACCATTAGTTCCGTGACGGTCATTTTCTTGTTACATTTTAAACATTCCATCTTCTTTTTTTTTGATCACTTACGTTATAGATCGCGAATTCTTTCGAAACTCTATTTGTGGGAGTTTAAGTTTTTATGTTCATCACATGTTTTCCTTCAATTACATTTTTCAACACTATAATATAAAGAATAGCGAAATCATATGAGAATTTTCCAAAAATAAAAATAAATTGGCAATACTATTTTCCATAAAAAAATAATATGCTATACTGCTCCAAATTAATACCAGGTTTGTAGTGAAAATTGCAATTGTCTTGTTACAATAGCAATAAAATGAACTTTACGTCCATTCTAAGCACCGATAAAATTGCAACAATTTGGGAAAAAACTTCGTAAAATTGACAATAGCGTTTTGCAAAATTTTCGAAAACTTTTCAAACACCCGAGAGAATCAGGCCACATGTGCACCCCAACTCGCTTTCCTCCCGCATCGAAGTTCTAACGCCTCGGGGAGGGTTTTCGAAACTATCTTTAAATCGATTGGATTCGATTTGGAATAAAACTATTGAACCGTCGACTTTCTAAAACGTCATTACAGATAATATCAACAGGCAAAAGTGCCAGTTTGTAAAGATTTTTTTCAATTTTATGAAATGAAAAAGTCCCGATAGACACAGGTTTGTTCATGGGATTTTATCGGAAAAGAACAAATTATGAAACAACAGGTCACTAAGAAATACAGAAAGAACAAAACGTTTAAAAACGAGTTACAAACAATATAGAATGAAGAAAAAACGGCTAAAACCCTGGCACAATTAACACAATAATAAAAAATATAATGAACAAATCTTAAATAGCACCCTGGAAACATACATTAATTGGGCCATATAATATACAAGAATGAAACAAAAGAAACGTGAAAACTGACTAATTTAATAAATAAATTTGGTAAAACAAGAATTTCAATTAACGAAAACCATTTTCCTGACGTGACAATTGCTATACGTCAAACATGATGACAAAAACTGTATCATAGGTGTTAAACAATTAATTATATCCATGCTTATCTGAACAAAACAAAAAATTTAAAACGATTTATTTACAAAATTCAAAAAGACAAATTTTATTTGTTTGCACTTTTTTTCAATAATTATAAAACTAAAAATTATCCCGTATCAATAAAAGTGCAATTATTCACAAAAGGAAAATACGTACAATGGCAAAACCTACCATACTTTCTTTTTAACATCAATTTCACTGTTTGAACGATCTGCGCCAAGAAAATTATTTTAAATTCTTCTGAACGGGGGCGTCGGTGGCCGCAACGGTTTAAGCGTTGACACGGCGCTCATCACTGTACGGTGAAGGTTCCGGGTTCGAATCCAGCGGCCCTGCATTCGAACCCGACATACTTACAAATGAGCTTTTTTTCAAAAACACCGGCACACCGAGGTTGATATAACCTTTGCTGTTGCGAACCCTCGTAAAAAAAAATATATATATATTCTTCTGACCAACTAATATAAAAATCAAGTGCGTTCACATTAACTTAACGTTTACGTCGAATTTAGGGTATCAAAGTCACTTTGTCGGAAATTTAATTTTGATATCTTATTTTTAAAAAACTCACGCTCACACTGACGTGGCCTAGGGGCCGCAAAAATGTCAAAACCAGGTAACAAAATACTCAAAAAGACAACATCACTCATTATCATCATTATGTTCATGTGACACTAGTTTGAAGGTACTGAAAACCACAAAACTATAAATCAGCGTATCATTGAGTTAAAAAAACTTACCCAGAAGTTTGTTGATATTTTTTCGCATAGAACACTGATCAGCCACTAAATGTAGTGAAATGTTAAAACTGTTTTATATACGAAAACTGGGACGATCAGGATTATTAGAGGGGGTCAAATTACAAATTTAACATTTCATTGAAGTTAGGTCGATATCTGTAAAGAAAATGTTGTCAATTTTTCTTTTTAGCATTGTGCACAGATTAACAGCTAAATATGGTGAAATGTTGAAACGTGTATTAAAACCACAAAGCGAGAATGACCAGGATTATTGGAGATGGCCAAAGTACAGGTTCATTACATCGCTAAGCTCAGAGCAAAATCTCGCAAAATAAAATAAGTTAATATTGTTTGACTTCGAACACAAATCAATCATTAAATATGGTGACATCCAAAACTGAATTAAAGATCAAAACAGCATAGAAGGACTGTCCAGAATGATCGGCGGTACAAATACCGATATGTTTCACATTTAACATAAACCCACCACTACATATGGTGCAAAGCCGATACTTAAAAAAACCCAGCAAGGATAAGTGAACGAGGATGATAAATTCTGAACCTAACGACAGGTTCATAACCTCACTGAACTCCGGATTTCATAAATAAATGTTTTTGGACATTTTTTGTATTGAACACAAATCAACTACTAAATATGGTAAGTTAATAATCAAAACAGCGACGATGGTTGGACTAAGATGATCGAAAATGGCCAAACTACAAATTACATAATTCAATACCTCACCGACCTCATAAAACAACCTCTCATAAAATGAAATTTCTTGATATATTTTGGCATAGAACACAAATCTATCACAAAATATAGTGAAATGTCAGGCCATTAAGACAAACAAAAACATCGAGGATGGATGGATAAGGATGAGGGGCAACTGCCAAGCTACAATCTCATCACCGAACTGACATAAAGAAAACACCTCCCAAAGAAATATCTGTTGATATTTTTGGCAGTGACTACAAATCAGCCTCTCAATATTGTGAAGTCCCAAAAGTTAAATTACAAACCAAAACCGCGAACATTGGCGGTCTAGGATAACATGGGCTTACCATAATTCCATCACCTCATTGACCTCAGGACCATTTCCCACAAAGCAATTTCTGTTGAAAGAAAACAGAGAGGATGGACAGACTTATCGTTAATGGTTAAGCTACAGTCTCATCACTGAACTGAATTAAGAAATATATAAAAAATAGTCCCTTGATATGTTTGATATTTAAATCTATAGGATAGTCGAAAATGGTACAACGACAGCTTCAACACCTAACCGTCTTTGAAAAAGAACATACACAAAGAAAGGAAAAAAATTGCATATATATGTTATTATTTGAACAACAAATTAATTATCATTTTATAACATCAAAAAACCACCTAATCTATGAAGTAAAAGCCTACCATCACTTGATACTGTGAGTGACGTAGATTCAATATCCTCCCTTACATGATCTATGATTTATATTTGCATTTCCGTACAGGAAATGCATAGAGGGATAGGAACCGGTAGGTAAATAAGTTATCTGGATCCGACCTGATACTAGTTGATACTCGGAAGGAGAAGATTGACGTCTTGAGGATGTGTTTGCAAGGGATCCCAGGGGAAATGAAGGGATGAATCACTTTCCATGCCCACCCTAGGTTGGTTCTAGGCTTTTTTATACTTAGGTATGGCCGCTATTCCGAAATTGATTCTCCTTCTTTCAGAGGGAAGAGGTACATCGTTCTACATGCATACATCTCTTCGACTCCGGTCAGTTTTGAATATAAAATATTTCTCTTCCTTTACATTATATTGTGTACATATAACAAAAATATAAATATTTATAAAATTATTTACACAGAACTACAATTCACATTTCTTACAATCAGTAGTAGTAATCCTGACACGAAACCCAATTTTATAGCGTATCTCTTTTCTTTTGGGCCCAACCCTGAATCGGGAGAAACGAAAACTAGGTCCCAGAGGTTTTTATGATCGGACCTGACTACGTTAATTTAATCTATCGACAGGCACCTTTTTTTGATAAATGAATTTCCAATATTTAATACAAAACCAAAATAGATCTACAAGACCAAAATATTAGGAAAGGATATACTCTTTTCAAATTCAATATATTTCAAAATAAAATTACAATTTATTTTATTAATTATTATTTTTAATTTAAAGAATCTTTTTAATTTATAATTAAACCTATTTCAAAATCTACAAAATATCAATTTAAAAATCGAATTTAAATTTGTTTTAGAAAGAAAAGTAAAAGGAAATTATTATTATTTATTTATTTTTTAAAATTATTTTTTACCACCAATTTGCAAATAGTTCTTTTTTTATTATTCGTTATAATTTTTTTTAGTTACAACCATTTTTAAATTAAAGTACAATTATTAATTTTTAGTTTTGACGCCAAAATATAAAAGTGGATCGAAGTCACGATAGTTCAAGTGGTAGAGTAGCGGCGTATCTAGCTGAAGGTCGTGGGTTCGAATCCCGCTCGTGACACTGACTTTTTATCTCACCTAAAAACCTTAATTACTTGAATGATATTAATTGGTCAAGCGGACCATGAAAACTAGTGAATTTAATAAGTTAAAATGAAGTATGCTTCACTAAAGCTCTCTGTGGCCATTTCATTTGTCGCCGAGGATCCAATCCGATTACACGACATTTAAAAAATGGCAAAAAGGAGGGAAAATTGAAAAGGTGGGGTTGAGACGTGAAGTTAGTGTCCGAGTGGATCGAAGTCACGATAGCTCATGTGGTAGAGTAGCGGCGTATCTAGCCGAAGGTCGTGGGTTCGAATCCCGCTCGTGACACTGACTTTTTTACCTCAACTAAAAACCTTAATTAATTGAGTGATATTAATTGGTCAAGCGGACCAGGAAAACTAGTGAATCAAAATATAAAATTTACTCACTTGAATTGTGTGCAAAAAAATTTTTTTTCTTTAATACAAAAAAACGCTCTTTAACCCAGTGTTATTTTACCACATCCATTACTAAACTTGTTAAATTTACTTATTTTAGGCAAGTAATAAAAATACAATTAAACGTTGAGCTTGTGAAATCAACGACTAGCTTCAACATCATATTATTAGGTCAAGGCTTAAGCTCATAATTATTTTGATTGTAGTGAAGATATAAAAAGTATATTCATCGTACCAATTTAAAAGTAGAATATAATAATCCATTTACGTTTTAGTGGTCAATTGTCCAAGTTACTTCTTTCAATTAATTATTTTTTTTATGTAAGATTTGGTTGAGATAAAAAAGTCAGTGTCACGAGCGGGATTCGAACCCACGACCTTTGGCTGCTCTATCTCTTGAACTATCGTGACTTCGATCCTCTCGGACACAAGTCTTCATCTCAACCTACAA